TTTTTTTTTTTTTTTTTTTTTTTTTTTTTTTTTTTTTTTTTTTTTTTTTTTTTTTTTTTTTTTTTTTTTTTTTTTTTTTTTTTTTTTTTTTTTTTTTTTTTTTTTTTTTTTGTATGGCATTGTGGTCTATGTTTTCACCTTGTTTTGGCCATTTTCAGGACGGTTGGCATCTATTTCGTGGTGGATTTTGGAATTACTTCAGCATTGGTAAGAATTTTTTTTGCTTCATCACATTCTATCACTTCACTGAATCAAAATATGTAATGACTTTAAAAGTATATTGTTAAAAAGGTTAAATAGCGTGGGTGATTTGAATCATGTGGCTTCATTTGATTGAGCTATGGGTTTAGAAATGCAAGCCTCCAACCCTATCAATTATTCCTCATGTATACTTTTCTGATTCCAACGACAGATTTGTCATTCAAATTATGCAGCCATGATGTTTTTACATGCCTCCACAGATAATTTCGACTTTTAATCAGCTACTGAGCGAGCAAAGAAGCAAAAGTGACTACCTCTTTACCTTTATTTGATTAAGCTCAAATCAAGAATAGCCCTATAGCATAACCCTCCTACATTATCATAACCGCGATATACTGTGTTTAGTAATGATATGGGGTCGGATTACTAGAGTTATCCTTTTTCTAAACAACACAAGGAATCTTGACCTTGATATGGAGTACAATTGAACTATGCCTTTTGGCGCTGTATGATAGTATAACTATTTTATAATAGACAATGGTAGCATAATCCATGTACAATGATGAAGCTCTATTTTAATTTCTGCCCGGTACAGGTAAACTTAAAAACATACCAATTGAGTTCCTCAGAAATTTGATGAATGGTCTATACAGGAATGGATGCTCAGGTATCATATGCTTTTCATTCCGAGAGAAAGTTGAATCCAGAAAATTTTAAGAATCAATTAACTAATCAGGTAATGATTTATTTTTCCTTTCAAGTCTGAAACACCTTAAATTTACCGTTAGGATTTGCACGAAAAATGACCAATAATTCTCCATTGTTAAATCTTTCTCATGCGCCAAGATTTGATCCTTATTAATGGGGAGGGAGCCTTGCAGTTGTCAACTGCCGACAATCCTAGACTTTTCCTGATATCTGTAGTACTAGAACATTGTCGGAGAAGAAATATATTATATTTAAATTATCTATAATTTAGTTCGCTAGACATTTGGCATGTTATGTCTCATGATTATATCCACTCTACATTAAATGATGGGTACCTGTATGTTTTGCTTTTCTATAGTTTTTCTAGGTTAACATGTGCTTCAATTGTTTTACTTTTGCGTCTTTACCAATACTTTTGTTCTAATTATACTAAACAATCAATGTCTCTTTTGGTTGAGGCAGAAAGCATATTTGAAGATTGCTTGTAAACAAGGATGGTTTGTTTCTCCTTTATGTCATCCTCCTTCCAGGTATGTCTTTGGTTTATCTTTATATGATTATTTAAGCAGTGGTCACCTTTCTAGATCATTGTTTATATTTAATTCAGTGTTTATCCCAGAGTTGGCGCGCATAAACTAACCCAAGTAACATTCGTAATTGTTTAAAAAGAAAAATATGATAGTTGTACATTTATGTCTGGACCTTAGGTCGTGTTATCTGCCTTAGTTTTGACTAGCAACTAGTTGCTAGTTCTTGTCAATGTCAACATTCTGTGATTTAGAATGAGTTGGTGTAATGCAGGAACATAGCAAATCTTGCAGCGGTGAAGATTATGAGGAGGGAAGGTATCTGGGAGGACCTCGTGATTCCCTCAAGGTGATTCAAAATAACCTTTTTTCAATTGGTTGGTTGTTCATTTTGCTGCCTAACACTGCGTCATATAGAATCTTTACTTTCTGCACATGGCTGAGGTGCAAATGATTGATCTCCTTAAAAATGGATAATAGGCTTTGACAATCTCTTTCCAATCTCAAATGCAGTATGAGATCTATAATTTGTCTCAATTTGCCAAGTTTTTCTGGTGGACTTGATCCTTGGGGAGATCCAAGCAAAAATAAATTACATGATGTTAGTTCCAAGCTTGTTTTCCACTCTTAAACCGCGAGCTGTTGTTTTGATCATTCTGGTTGTAATTAATATTAACATAACTTTATGTCTTACTTACAGAGTGATCTAACTCCTCCATATGTGGATGATGGGCTTATTGAGATCGTTGGTTTTAGAAACGCTTGGCACGGGCTCGTCCTGCTTGCGCCAAATGGACATGGAACTCGTCTTGGTCAGGTAACTTCAGGCAAAAACTAGAATTGGATCAGATTCTAAAATACCAACGAACTAACACTGATTGTAGTAAATCACCTCCCTTTGATGCTGTGCGAATGAAATTAACACTACTCTTGGTTGTCCCATTCCTAATATCGATGCAGGCAAGAAGAGTTCACTTCGAGTTTCATAAAGGTGCAATTAACCACACGTACATGAGAATTGATGGGGAGCCATGGAAGCAACCCCTTTCTGTGGAAGATGACAAAGTAGTGATAGAAATTAGTCATTCTGGTCGAGTCGACATGCTCGCCAACCTACCGTGCAGAGCTAAAAGTGTGCACGACCCTTCTTCAACTCACAATTATGGCAACAGAGATTATTATATCAACAGGGACGATAAATTTGCAGAAGAACATGTGGTGGTAAAGAAGTTTGGTGCAGCTTCTACGTTTAAGTTTGTGGACGACAGGGACATAGTTCATTATCATCAATAGGTACACAGACGTATTGAGTTATCTTAATTTTGGTTTTTGGTGTATATGAATGATTATGATTTGAGATAGATTGATTGATGAATGAAGTAGTTGCTTCAGCTGTAAGAGATTGTTGTTGTTAGTGTAGTTTTTTGTTGTCTAGATTTAGCCACCGCTAGTAGATATTGTCTTTTTCTTAGTTTTCTTTTCAAGCTTTCTTTCAAGGTTTTTAAAACCCATATACTAAGAAGAGGTTTCTACATTCTTATAAACAATATTTCGATCTCACAATTATGATGATATGCAATGTTTAAAAGGGTATTCTTATAAACGAATGAATTATTTAAAATTAACAAATTTGTGAAAGAGGTTCCATATACGAAATAACATATCTGTGGGTTAAATACCAAATCCATGGGACAAACACCCAACTTTTTTTTTACTTTTCCAAAAATAATTCATGACAATCTAATATTAGAAACTAGTTTTTACAAATTAATTAAATGTATGAAGATTTAATTCAGATATTTAAAATATATAGATTAAAATAAAATAAAATAAAAGGTAGAATACTATGGGTTTTTAAATTTGAATTTATATTTATTTATATTAATTAGGACTTGAAAGAATTTAAAGGTTCATGAATAAATTAAAGATATAATAAATTTAATATTGAAATTGATTTAAGAGAATTTAAAACCAAAAGAACAAGCCAAAATACAGCTGTTTTTTTTCTTTAAAAAAGGAAAAAAGAAAAAAGAAAATTATTTCCGGATCCCCTTTGCATCGAAGGTTCCGGAAGGAAATGGAACTTCCATTCCCCATTTTTGATGGGTTAAAAATAAAATATAAAAGCATAATAATATAATAATTAGGCATTGAAATTAGAGGTAAAACAATTAATTAAAAAAAATTAAATGAAAAGAAAGGCAGCGTAAACGCGGTCTCCTTTCATAGAAAATACAGGAACCCCTTTTGAAAGCACCTAGTTTTGTCCTCAAAACCATGGCTTCCTCAATCCTTCTTTCCCTCTTTTCTCTCTCCTCTGCCTCTGGTTTCTCTCTCTCTCTCTCTCTCTCTCTCTCTCTATATATATATATATATATATACTCCAATTTCTGCCAGAGAAAACCCACACATCGATTAAAAATCGATTAACGAAACCGAAACAGAGGCTAAAGAGAAAACAGAGCACCATGTCTCGGAGTGCAGCCTGCAGAGCCTGGTTCGTGGCGGCAAGCATCGGCGCCGTGGAGGCCATGAAGGATCAAGGGGTTTGCCGTTGGAACAACCTCATCAAATCCCTGCACCAACACGGAAGTAGCAAGCTCAGATCTTACTACCAAGCCAAGAAGCTCTCTGCTTCCTCTTCTTCCGCCATTTCCAACCAGATCAACAAGTCTAGAGAGGAGAAGATGAGGAAAGTCATGGATTTGGGGTGTTTGGGTCCCAGTACCATCAGATTCTAGACCTTTTCCTTCATGGGTTTTCGTCAATTTCTTGCCTTTCTGGTTCTACGCTGGCGCTGTGCTCAGAATTTGGTGAAGGCTTGGAATATACAATGTTTTTTTAGTTAGCATATATTATATAGGCTGTGATCTTCTTCTCATCTTTTCTTTGTGTTATGGGCTTGAAGTCTGCCAATTTGTAAAGAGGTTTGGTTTGGGTTAGTAATGAATGGATACTCCAAAATTACGAGGGCAGGGCAGGGTTGTTTGAACAGATCGAACACGGACTCACGACTCTCCACAATGATATGATATTGTCATCATTTTGAGTATAAGCTCTCATGATTTTGTTTTAGGCTTACCAAAACATCTCAGTTTAGACTTCTCAAAAGGCTTCACTCCAATGGAGAGGGTATTAGTCGATTATAAACCTATCATTTCCTAACTTAATAGATGTGAGACTTTTATCAAACCCCTCTCTTTAGACAAGTGTATAAGGTACACTTTCTTTTAGAAGTTCGACTCTTTTTCTTTTGGAGTCTTAATCATTTTTTACCATGCCTTCAAGGAGCTTAACTAAGCTCCTTTTTCCTTTTTTTTTGGAGTAATTTGTTCAACCTTCAAAGACTAAGTTCAAGGCATGACTCTAATACCATATTAAATGAATACGATTCTACAAATATTCATTGATTGATTACATACCAAACATACCAAACAATGGTCTCTTGATGTCCCAAGTGCATTTAATACTAACGGACAAAAAATAGTAACCGTTCACACGGATTCTGCCCCCCTAACTGAATTTAATACCAACGGACACAAAATAGTAATGGGTTCTGTTACTTCTTTTGTTAAAATGTTTAACCAACCATACTTCTTACAATCTAACTCCTTATTTCAAAAATAATTAATTATTATTTCAAAAATAATTATTTTAAACATTTATTCATAAATCTCTTCTTTAACCAAAAATAATTATTTTAAACATACCTATTATGATCTCGATTTATTCATATATCTATTTTATAATCGGACGTTAAGTCCCATCAATTTTTATTTTTTTTTTTGTTCATATATTTTGTAGAAAAATCACTCTATTTAAACTAAATTCGTTTAATTTTGAAATTTCTAGGATTCATTTAGATATTTACCTTAAATATATAATAATAATAATAATTTTTTTTTTTTGTTTTTGCTTTATTAGGTTACCATGGTAGTGGGTTCGTATATGTCCAATTGTATTATATTTGAAGTCCGGTTCTTATAAAAATAGAATTATTTTTTTCTTTTGATTTATAAAAATGCACGTCTTTTGTAACTCAAATATTTATCCTCATGTATACATTGATATACTATTGAATACTCATTGGTTATATAATTGAAACGATCAATAGCATTTATATGCATTTTAATGAGCATTGATATACCAACTATCAATATACTTGATATCAATGTTAATTTACTAAGGATTTCGACATATTATTCATATATCAAAAAACTTTGGAAAACCCAAAAATCATATTTCAATTTCTTTTTTTTCATATTTGCAATATTCAATAACTCTTACTATAATTTTGCAATTATGGGCTACCATTACTAATTTTCGGTGCAAAACTGTACTAAATTATAGTTTAATATATATATCATATTTGATATTTTATTATAAGGCAAATATCTATATCTTTGTCTTCTCACTCTATGTTATCTTTCCATTTAATGTTATTTTCATTTATTACTCTTTTCATATCCTTGTAATTTATTTTATTATAAATAAATAACTTTCACACTATTATTTAAAGTGGGGTGGATTAAGTAAACATTCTGAAACATTAAAGAAATTATTGTTGGGATATGGAGCATGAGGTTAAAAATAGGTGATATGTGGAAATCAAAGGGAGTAAGATTCGGATTACCTTGTTAATAGAATATCTCATGACAAGAACATTGTTTGAGATTCGAATCACTCTACAAGCAAGATCGATCATGTCTAGCTTGAATGATTCTTGTTGATCAAATATCTCAAGGCAAGAACACTTGATTGAGATTCGAATCACTCCACAAACAAGATTGATCATGTCGAGCTTGAGTGATTTTACATGCAACCTAAACTACATAGAATTGCAAAGAAACTTAGCAATTAGCTAAAGAAAAGCACAAATGCTTCTTTTACTATATATTTTTCAAGACTACTTTAAAATACAACATACATGACTTTATATAGCCTCAAAATGAAACTAAAAGACATTACAAGAGTTGTAACCCGTAATTAACTAATTGTAACGTAAACTAAATAAAAAGTCTTAAAATACATTAACTCTAAATTACTCTAAATTGTAACCCACCCAAAATTTATAACAATCAAACTTCATTCTTATTTAGTGTGGCATGAATTTAAACATGTTTTGATAATTTTGACAACCTTTTCTTCACATCAAACTTCATTCTTATTCAGTGTGGCATGAATTTAAACATGTTTTGATAATTTTGACTACCTTTTCTTCACATCTTCATTTGAAATATATTGTAAGATTGATGTCTTTTGATTCATATCAATAGAGTAGAAATATAATTTTTTAGATATTTATAATAAGAGATGGTTATATTTAGTAAATGAAACTCTATATATATGTATACCCCTTATACATGCTTTGAAAATTTTCTTCATATTTTCTCATTCTTTACATACTTGAAGTTATCACTAGAACTTTTAGCTAATATTATTTTTTGCATTTTCTCTGTTCTTTATATTTATCTAGATCGATTGTCGAGTATATACATTGTTGTGCGATTCTAACCATTATAATAAACCAGCTTGACAAATTCTCTGGCAATAATTTCAATTTGTACCACCAACCCAAAGAACAGAAAATTCAATCAATTCCAAGTTCGAAGTCGAGATAATTAGAAAAATGCACAACATGGATTCAAAAATCGAAGTGATCCTGATTGGGCTTGGGAGAAGTAAGCAACGCCGTGTAGAGGCGGAGGCGATCCTCCCCCAAGGAAGAGCACCGCGACAAGGGTCGCCGAGGCCGAATAAACGACAACGACGTTAACGTAAGCCGGTGGCGGTAACGACGCCAGGCAAGCTGGATGGCAACGGCAGCCCAAGTACGCCACCCAGGGGAGTAGTAGCGGGCGCTACGTTTGACCTTGTCGTTGACGAATGTGTAGCGAAAGTGCTGGGTTACGTACTTGACATCCTCCGCCTCCAACCCAAACGCCTCCGTCGTCTCCAATGTCACCAAAGTGCAAGAGGACGGCGGAAGGCGCTCTATGAAGGGGCGGCGGAGACACCAGGATAGAAGCTCGTCGCCGCTAAAGTTGCCTGGCCCCAACATGCAGCAGCTTTTGACGCCGTCGCGTAAGACTTGGCTGCTTTGGAGATGCCCTCGAACGACAAACAGCATTCTTTGAACTGGGTCGCCCTCTCTTGTTATCTGGGCATAATTATAATGGTTAGATCAACACGACTTTTTGTCCACTTTGAGAATAAACTCTCGTAACAATAGAAAAAGTATTTTTTTATTATAAACCTATGATCATTTTTTAAATTAGGGGACGTGAGACTTTCATCTAATAATAATCATTGGAAATGAAAGGTTTTGTTGTTAGAACTTACGGTTTCGCCCTTGGTGAAGATGAGGGACTTGACACGGTCACAAATGTTCTCAAGAA